GCTGTGTCATCGACCTACCGACGGTTCAATGAACTCTCGGCAAGGACGTAATAAATGTCTAGCCTTAGTGACATTTATTACCTTTCACTTCTGAGCCTTACCGCATTAAATGCTATCTCATCAAGGGAATGGTGTAATTAAATGCTTGCTTTCCCACATCGTATGTCAACAAGGGCATCCGGTCTTTCTGTCTCTGATGTGACACAATATGTCACGCGTCCATTCCCCATTGGCTGTGTCCCCTGCCTTCCTGTGCCTTCTGACACCAATTGTGTAAGACGAGGTCATGATAGCTAACCTAGCCTAGCCTAGGCTAGTGACCTGTACATCAATAACCTCTGTTGGAGCAGAGAACGCCATCCTGGACGGAGGGTGCATCTCGGTACCGAGGGAAGAGGTACATCTCGGAGCCGAGAGGGGAGGTATATATATCGACCGATGTACCATATCAGACCGAGGGATACGTGTTGGTACATAAAACGTACTGGGATGCCACTTGATCCCTATGATAAGTACCTCGGGGGAGAGGGACTTGTGAACCGATGGTACATGATCTCAGTAATAAGGATTAGTGACACCGAGGACACGTGTCTTCATCTTGGAATATTTCGGAAATATCCCTTCACATACCATTCTTGACAGGTGATATCACATTGTAAAAACAATATGATAGTTTTATCCTTATGCAAAATATGAGGGATATGTAGGAAAAGGTATTAGAGTTATTTACGGCCCTTATACCGTCGGTAGCCCTTAACCTGCCTGATAATACTACCTCTAAGGAGGTATTAGATATAACCATGTACAAGAGTTTAGGGTAATTGTAACTGTCGGGTCAAGATTTAGATCCGAAAATTAGTACCAAAATTAAAATACAAAACAAATGAGATATAAGTGAATCTCATATACTAATTTACTTTATCCCACCGCTTAATACCTAACTATTCGACAAACAAACACACCCTTGGTGTATATCACAAGTATACAGGGATATAGTTATTGGACTAAGTTTGTCCATATGTGGGTATTGAGTGTGGTTACCAAAGCCACATCTTTGTGGGCCTTAGTCACTTTCTGAGGCATGGTAGTCAATCATGTCTCTAACCAGACCATTACTACATACGTGGTCACGAGTACTCCTCTAAATGTGTTGCACCTTAAAGATATGATTTTTATTGATCTTAACTGGTGCATGTCTAAAATCATTACGGGTTCAATCAAATAATAAAAATCTCCTCTCCCTCAATTTATTGGGAGGCCAAAAATTACGTATTAGTTCGAATAACTAAAGTCTTATCTTATAATTGGGAGGTTAAAAATTTAAACCCGTCACATATAAAACATGTATTATGAAAAAAGATTAGCGCTTACAACATCTAAGATCTTAAATTCAACCAGCACTACCACTTCCAACACCCTGCAGTCAGTAAATTGCAATTCTTTTTGTGTAGGGTAGCGCACATTAAGATTTGTTTGAGTGATTGTCCAAACAAGGTATAAAGCCATGCTTTCATATTAATTTTATTAGATAAACACTATGGTTCTTCTCCACAATTTCAACTCAATTGATGTAACCTTCACCATTCCATCAGCTTCGGAGTTCAAATCTGTCACAAACACGTATTTACTAGTTTTCGGATAACCATCGAGACAGAAGTATCAAAAATTTGAGTAGATTCAATGCTCCTCGTAGTAAATTGATTGCAACCAATATGAATTAGACTAATCAGCTTCTTTTGCTATCATCTCCAATCTTCTTTGTCCATTTCCTGTACTGTTCTTATCAACTTCAGTCAAATTACTCCTGGCTACCTCTAATTTTTCAAAAACTGCCTTCATTCATCAACCTAACACCGGCAACAGGCAACAGGCAACAGGCAACAGGCAACAGGCAACAGGCATAAGATTTACACTCTTACCCTATCTCACCCCACAACCCGCTCACCCTGCACCACCAATGCCGGTAATATGTCTATTATTTCTAGAGAGAGAATGAGAAAGGAAGACAAGATTAAAAGAGAAGAGAAAGTAGGAAGCCCAAGAGAGAATTGTGAGAGAAGATTACAGATAAGAGAAGAGAAAGCTGGAAACTGTAAGAGAGAGTGGTTAAAAACAAGAATGGCATGTAATATTCGAAAAAAAAAAAAAAAAAAACATAATGGTTGAAAGTTTGGAGACCATTCAGATACTACTGCATGGGCAACACTGTTATAGGATTTAAGATTCAACCTCATCCACTCACAGAAGTTCAATTATCAGAAAGAAATAGCAACACTAAACAGTTTAGAATTCTCATTAGGACAAGGCCAATCCAGATAATATTGCATTGAGCTTCATCATGATTTGTACTCTAAGGGTGCAGAGACATGCCACAGGCAGTCTATATGCCCTCTGGGGCAATTGCTCTAAGTTATTAGGAGAATTATGCAAACTTAAGCTGCTCAAAGTTTTAATCATTTTTCACAAATTTCTTCAGCCAGCACCACATGCTAAAACTTAAGATGTGCCCTTACACATACCAGTGCCAAGTATCGCTGCCTGCTTTTGTAGCATAAATTAGTTTATAGCCCATAGTCTATATCATCAGACCATATATCATTTGGCATTCCTTCACTCCCCAATTGACTACCAAGCCTGCACCCCAACCAATGTTCTTCGGCCAAGTCCAGAAAGTCCTGTAAACAGCTTAAGTGGTAGGCTAATTTTGCGGTCTGCAGACAAAGCAATAAGCCCCCACAAAGGAAAAACAGATTTCATTTTTATTAAAGCTATACTGCATTATGAAAGAGCTAAGCTCTTTAAAAGCTAACAGTTCCTAGATTTTCACAGAGAAAGTTCCATTTCCGGATAGACACTGACGGCAAAATGGCACTTACCAGCAATCTTCAACTGGTTAATTTGGCATAAAAGTCAATTTGTCTATCATCTAACAGTAAACCCACTTACCTCTGAAAACATTCAAATGAAATAAGCTTCCAAAACTTACAAGTGTAGAGATAAGGAGATGTAGAGATAAGAGGGGGAGATTATTGTTCCTGACATCCTTTATCAGGAAAACTAATCAACTCAAGAGAGATTTCTTCCTCTTCTTCAAATAGAAGGCAATCTCTTCATTTTGTTAAACAAAATATTCGGAAAGAAAGATATCATCAATTTTGATAAGTTTATAGATACCCAGTTATAATGTGTTTACCCTATTTACCTCTCGCTCAGAATCAGGCCATGTCTTTGACTCGGTTGCAGGGGCGGAGCCAGAATTCTATCCGAGAGGAGGCAAGAATATGAATTAAAAATTAATTAATTGAGATAACAAAAATTTGGATATTAATTAATAAGGAGTAAATTGGGTATTATATTTATACACGTAGAACACATTAACATTGTTTAAATTTCAAGAATCGACTATTATTGTTCAGTTTCATGACATAAAATTCTCAATAGTTTTCTTCTAATGTGGTTGAGAAATTGATCTTTTGGAATAGCTTAAATTGATCTTTCGGGTTAGTACATTTTATTAGTTGCATTAATTTATGTGATACTAATTTATGAGCCAACAATCTATAAAAAAAAAAATGATAGACAACTATACAACTATTTTTAAAGAATAAGAGGAAGGATATTATATAATAAAGGTTTAATCTTCGGTTAATATATGAGTTAGGGTGTTTTATATTTGATTTATTATATTAGTCTAAAAATAAAATATTTATTTCAATAAATTAGAGGTCAATGTACCACTAACTTACCGCAAAAAAAAATAGATTAAGGCCATTATGCAAATTTTCAAAAACTTAAGAGGGGGCAATGTAATAAACTAAATATAATTTATTTTTCTGATACAGTAAATATTTAGTATTTCTTCAAAATTGAGTGAGGGCAACTGCCCCCACAATGACCCAAGTAGCTCCGGCCCTGCTGGGTTGAAATTATATATAAGCTCTTCATGGCTTCATGCAAAGTATATGAGTATATTTTTGGGTTAGGGAGGTCTAAAACTGCTTCATGTCTTAAATTTTACAGAAACACTTGCTAATAATTATAAGCATAAAGATTATGTGCTCAACAAATAAAATTATTTTATTATATACTAATTGGAACTTGATCCAAAACAGGGACGAGACTGGGGAGGGAGGGGGGGGGGGGGNGGGGGGGGGGGGGGGGGGGGGGGGGGGGGGGGGGGGGGGGGGGGGGGGGGGGGGGGGGGGGGGGGGGGGGGGGGGGGGGGGGGGGGGGGGGGGGGGGGGGGGGGGGGGGGGGGGGGGGGGGGGGGGGGGGGGGGGGGGGGGGGGGGGGGGGGGGGGGGGGGGGGGGGGGGGGGGGGGGGGGGGGGGGGGGGGGGGGGGGGGGGGGGGGGGGGGGGGGGGGGGGGGGGGGGGGGGGGGGGGGGGGGGGGGGGGGGGGGGGGGGGGGGGGGGGGGGGGGGGGGGGGGGGGGGGGGGGGGGGGGGGGGGGGGGGGGGGGGGGGGGGGGGGGGGGGGGGGGGGGGGGGGGGGGGGGGGGGGGGGGGGGGGGGGGGGGGGGGGGGGGGGGGGGGGGGGGGGGGGGGGGGGGGGGGGGGGGGGGGGGGGGGGGGGGGGGGGGGGGGGGGGGGGGGGGGGGGGGGGGGGGGGGGGGGGGGGGGGGGGGGGGGGGGGGGGGGGGGGGGGGGGGGGGGGGGGGGGGGGGGGGGGGGGGGGGGGGGGGGGGGGGGGGGGGGGGGGGGGGGGGGGGGGGGGGGGGGGGGGGGGGGGGGGGGGGGGGGGGGGGGGGGGGGAGGAGGGGGGGGGGGGGGGGGGGGGGGGGGGGGGGGGGGGTTGAAGTATGGGTGAGTCTAATTCTCCGAACGAAGCAGGATATTATTGTACATACTTCAATGAATAAACTCTGTGATTCCATGGAACTTCATTGGCAAGTGAAACATACTAGGGTTAAAAAACAAATATGTGTTCACCATTGCATACCGGGAAGAACTGTTTACCTCTGCCTTGACCACTTTCTGCTCCCCATAAATCTTTTTACCATTAACTCACATTTTCTTGCAAGAACTTGCAAAGCTCTTCAGCAACTAGATTGGGATACTCTTCCTGTGGAAGGAGGGCACCTGGAACCTCAACAAATTTACTCACTCCTTTGGCTTCCTTGAGAGCCTCCATCTCTGCTTTTGACCTCTTCGGAGAGCCAGCAGTCGACATAACTAGAGCCGGTATTCTTCCCTCTAACCCAGCAAAGAGTTCAAGGAATTCTTCTCGAGACTTCACTGGGTCAAGGAGACCAGTTAAGAAAGCAGCAGGCACATAACGGGCCCCTTTTCGTTTTGTCAGTGCATATCTGCTGTCAATAATATCTGGAGTCACATTTTCAGGATCTGCATAAACGTGAGATTTGTATTGGGATTGGATTGCCTTCTCATTGCTGACAAGTACATTGTACATCATCCAACCGACAGCAGGGGCCCTTAAGGTTCCCCTAAGCAGCCCATACCTATAGATTTTCGCAAGAAACAAAGGTGAGACTAGGTTTACCAAGCACATCAATCATGAAAAAGATGATATTCAGAAAATTTGTTCAAACATATAAGAAATCCAATCAAATGGTTGACGACCACAGAGCAGAAATGATTACAATGCCAAACTGAAGCCCTTTCACTCAAATGGCAAAACAAAAAGATCTCATAGATTAGGCATAACACATTGGACCATTTAGCAACACACAGCTGAACATTACCATCTGAGGGACTAATAAGAAGAGAATCACCTATAGTAAACTCTGGTCTTAGAATTGTATTACAGAAAGCAATGCAGCAGGGAATAGAAATACTTATACAGTGCCAGACCCTCATATTTGATTATACCCTGGGCATGGCCAGGGTATTCTAGAAATCTAGCCCACATGCACCAGATTCTCCTGGCCCAGTCCTCACCCATGGTCCTTTTTATATTTTTAAAATTTGAAAAACTTATTTTCTTTGATGGGCCAATTTTTTTCAAGTGGGTCACCCATCCATGTCCACCCCTAGTTTGGTATTACAAGAGGATTGAAAGCGAGCATATACTATAGTAATGGACACCTGTAAATAAACCTTGAGTCCGAATACAAGCATATAGAATTTAGGAACTACCTTGTTTCCATGTTGGAATCTCGACCAAATACAATAGGAAGGGGACCAGCCCAGGTGGGTGCAACAGCAGCAATGGCAGTCGGCTTCACCAAACCCTTTGTTGCAGCACGGACTGCTATTGTGGCAGCATGTCCTCCTCCAAAAATAACTAATTGATTTTCTGGTTTAGGAGCAAAAGATTTTAGCTAGATATATTGCCAGATGATAGTTCATATGAACAAACAAAATTTTCTTTGAATCTCCAGTACAGCTTTTATGGAACTTCTAGAAATATGATTCTATTAAGAAGTTTATTAGTATAAAATTTCCCTGTTTACCCAACAGAGTAACTGTTTAAACTTGAGTAAAATATATATGATACAGATAGGCAAAAAAAAAGTAAACCAAGGAAGAAAGAATTCAAACTCCCATAAAAGAGTATGTGAATATAGGATTTGACAGACTCATAAATCCAGAAATCAGAAGGAACCAATGTTGCAAACAGATGAGCTCCAACTCAGATGGTCAACACAATGGAGTCCAGAGAAAAAGCATTGACAGCAGAGTAACTCATGCAATACACCTTGAAGGAGAGGAAAACAGATAATAAAGATACATTATGTTTGTCCAGGAATTCAGGGCAACACATTGGTGTATAAGTTAAAAAACTTAAAAAGCTAGCTTCTACACTTGAATTACAATGCTAGGATAAGATTGTTGCTCCATAAACCTCACCAAAGTATCCGAAACTAAACACAGATAATGGAGATTGATGATAATCGGTGCTAAAGAAATTCCTACTCCTAACTACATTACACCTCAGTAGAAAAAGTAGCCAAGCAATTTAAAAGATTGAAACAAAGAAAAAAAACTTTCAAACTGGACAGAGACATATCTTACTATACTACAAAACAAACAAATTAGATGGGAGAGACTCTCTCAAGCCTTCCCTCCTTCTTTTCTTTTTTTCTAGAATTTTGAATTTTTTAATTAACTTCCTCAAATCAATTTCTAACATGTGTACACTTTTAAAATCATCCACTAACACATTTCTCCACATAACTGACACTCAGTTACCTAATCCCTCTCCAACTCTGTTTCCCATCTCCATTGTCTCACTCTCTAACCCATTTCTATCTCTCTCGCCTGTTTCTATCTGTCTCACTCTCTCCTCTTTTACTCCTGCCTCCTCTTTCTCTCCACCCATTATTCTTGGGGTTTCCCTCCCTCGCTCACCAGCACTATTTTTCAATTAATTTTGCAAAAAGTCTCGAATTCACCAATAATTTTCTTGAAATCTGAACAGATTTCTTTTTTCGGTAAGTAACATAGTTTCATGTTTTGCGTTTTGATTGGGTTACATATTCTTGAAGACTAGATAATTCCTTATCAATTTAATAATGCCCAGGCAAGTCATGTGGATTGTAAACTTCTGAATACTGAGGTGAATGTCCATGCTCTGCCTCTTGCCCAACAAGGCAACAAGATTTCACAAATGCGTGTCTTTTGCCCATTCATGATCCCATACCAAATCTGTTTCCGTAAACCTGCTGCCATAACTGGTGGCATTGTCTAAGTACCCCTTGCAATATTTTCCAATGGTTATAGACCTTGCAGTTTACTTTCAATGCTTTGGGTATAACAAGTCTCTCAGCTAACAAGGGTAACGTTGCGTACATCTAACCCTTCTCAGACCCCGTAATGATGGTAGCCTCGCGCACGGGGTACACCCGCTTTGGGTATAACAAGTGCTCTTTACATTTTCAATTGTAAGTTCTACTTGTGTAATCCAGTTTTTAGAATTTTGAGGTGTTCCGCATGTCTTGATAAAACATGATTAATTTGTTTTTGTCTCTTATTTAAATAGCTGTCCATCGCACTGGGGCTACACTACCAATTGAACACACTAATCATTCGTAAACCAACATCTACAATACCTGAAAGACTGAAACATAGTATAGCCTACAATGTGATACGCCGTACATGACCTTTAACTTCCTTGAAGCAGCAAAAGAATCATGGTTTACGATAAATTAGACTATCTCGAAAAAATGTCAGCATGGTCTCAAAACTTAGTCGACAATCGTGAAAGAGTACGCTAAGAAATTCAACACCCTTACAGCATATATTTGACTACAAAATGGCTATAGAAGCCATCACTGTGATTAACTATGTGGTAGCAAGCAACTGAGTCATTGCATATTTTACAAAACATTCTCCTCCATATATGCCAGATGTTTGCCGAATTTCTCATAGACCATAATTCTACAAAACTACACTATTCCTTTCACAATAGATATCAAAAATATCATGCGCACTTAGATTTTAAAGCAAACATATTTTATTACCTATTTTTCTTTAATTCTAGTTTCTGATTATCCCATAAACACTCTTAGAAGTCACAAATCGATTTAATAGAATTTAGATCCAGTAGATTTTCTTCATCTCATTGTTTCCTTACATATTACATTGGCTCAACTCATAATTATTAGATTCCCTATCTCCTTTAATGGGCATAGTCTATGAAGTACGAATACTTTTCAAGGGGCAAAGTATCGGTATCAGATACGTATCAGATCGGATATACATCCAATACATCGAGATACGTAATTAATAAGGCTAGGATGCATCCTATAATTAAGAAGAAACAAAATTTGAATTTCAGATACGTCGGGATACGGGATGGGATATAACGGGGTATTATGTGTATTTTTTAAAATAACATGGATACCGGAAGGTCCGGAAAAGATAATTTTTGGCCCTTGAAAAAAAAAGAAAAAACCCTAAGTCAATTGACAAAGTCCCCCCACTTACTCAACGAACATCAATCATTCTCTCACCTCTAGCGGCCCCTTTCGTGACTTCAACGACGTCTCTCCTCCCTCCTGGTACTTTGAAGTGCAGCTTTGACGAGTTACGACTCTCTCCAATATCCTCTCTATTGTCCGATGTCCAGGTATCAATCGGCGCCTATATCATCTCTTTCTCTTTGTATATTGTTTCTCTACATCTTTCTTTTGCCTTTCTACCGATAATTAGTACTCATCTTTTGCAATTAAGGTTTGCAAAACAAACTTGGGGTTTTGAATTAGGGTTTGTAATTAGGGTCTTTTTGCACTTTACAATTACAACAGTGTTTCTTCTGGTTTTTTTATATATATATATTAGGAACTAATCAAAATATTGCAAAGAAACTAAGAAAGATTTTCAAGTGTAGCATGGTTGGAAATTGGACCTTTTGTCGTTTCTTTGAGAACCTCCACCTATTGCCTTGCAATCTGATTATCTGAGGGCCTGAGGTACTCTTCTATTTGACTTGATATTGGATTATTTTTTGTATGGTGTTTAACTTTTGGGTGTATTTTGGTGATGGTGTTAACTGTTGATTGTTGAATTATATTCTAGATGGTGATGGGTGTTGAATTTTCAGCTTGGTGTTGAGTATTGACTATTGAATTAGTTTTTATATAGTGTTGCATGTTGTAAATTAACATTAGTTTCATTATTTTTTATATGGTGTTGAATGAGAACGAGTATGGATAGTATGAGCTCAACTTGCGGAAGCGGAAGTGAAACTCCCACTAATTAAGATGATAATGATTCTCTTTGGAGTAATGTTACTAAAGCAGAAAAAATGGGGAAAGAGGTGGAAATCTAGATTCCAATGCAATTTCTGTCAAAATGAGTACTGGGGATCATATTTTCGTGTCAAGGTACATTTATTGAAAATTATGGCCATAAAGTGACTTCCCAACAAAGATGCAAAGGGTAGTTGAAGAAGCAGAGGATAGGATTAATATAACTATGCCCCAGAAAGTTCCTTTGCCACCTTTCCCTTTCCAACCCCTGCAACTAGGAGTATGGGGATACCAGAAATTGAAACACATAAAATTGAAGGTTTTGAGCCAAGAAAAAAGAAGGCAACTGGAACTCGTACTTTGGAGAAGCATTTAACTTGAATGCTTGGGAAGAATTGCACTCCTACATTACACAAATGTTTTATTCAAGTGGCTTACCTTTTCATTTAGCTAGGAACCCATATTAAGTGAGTCCTTATACATTTGTTGTCACTAATTTAATTACTGGTTATGTACCACCTAGTTACAATGCATTGAGGACCACGCTACTTTAAAGGAAAGGGCGCATGTAGAAAGGTTGTTGGAGCCAACTAAATTGTCATGGAAAAAAAAGGGTGAGCATTGTTACAGATGGGTGGACTGATTCACAAAGAAGACCTCTTATCAATTTCATGCTTGCATCAGAATTTGGGACAATGCTCTTGAAAGCTATCAACTGTGAGGGTGAGGTCAAAGATAAGTTTTTATTGCGAACATAATTACTTAAGTAATTAAAAAAGTTGAACCTCAAAATGTGGTTTAAGTAATTACTAATAATGATCCTGTTTGTTCTTCTACTTGATTAATCATTCAAAATGAGTTCAAACATATCCAAAAGACACCCGGTATTTTTCACACATTGAATCTTTCCGCTAAGAATATTTGTCCTACAAAAACTCTTGAGAGGAATGCAATTACTTATGAGGAATGTCACTGAATTATAGAAGTTGTTAGAGATTTAGTAACTATCAAAAGTTTCATCTTGAACATGAATCATTCTTCGAGGTTGTTTATCTTCAATGAATTCGTGTCTTTAAAGTTGCTTGCTGTTGCAAACTCGTTTTGCATCTATTATTGTAATGCTTAAACGATTTAAATTCATCAAACGTGGTCTTCAAGCAATGGTGATTAGTGAGAAATGGTCTTCTTACAAAGAAGATGATGTTGTGAAAATGGCATTTGTGAAGGAAAACATCTTGAGTGACATTTGGTGGGATAAGATATGTAATCTACTTTCTTTCACATTGTCAATTTATGAGATGTTGAGGATTTGTGATACAGACGCACCATGTCTTCATTTAGTTTATGAAAGGTGGGACACAATGATTGAAAACGTCAAGACAACTATATATAGGCATGAAGGGAAGCAAGAAAATGCAAGGTCAATTTTTTATGATGTGGTACATCAGGTTCTAGTGGAGAGATGGGCTAAAAGTAACACACCTCTTCATTGTCTTGCGCATTGCTTCAATCCAAGGAGACAACTTTCTTTTTAGTTTTACTCTTAAAGTACTTTTTTTTATCGAGTTATATCATTTAGTTTAAATAATATAATTAGTTTTGATATCTTCTAATTTTGCAATATAAGTATTCTAGTGCAAAGTGACTAGATGAAAATCTCAATCGTGTTCCTCCTCGCAAGGATAAAGAGATTTCATCTATGAGAAGTAAATGCTTCCAAAGCTACTTTTTGAATCCACAAGAGAGAATGATGGCTGGGTATCCTAAGTTCTCTGATTGTTTAGACCAATTTAGAACACGACTCACAAGTAAATAAAGGATTAATGGAACCTCTCATGTGGTGGTTTTCTCATAGTCTCCTGCACCAATGCTTCAATCTTAAGCATTGAAATTACTTGGCCAACCTTATTTCTCATCGTGCGGTGAAAAGAATTAGAGTATTATTCTCTCTCATTACTTCCATGAAAATGAACAAAATCATATCACTTCATGCTCAAGATTTGGTTTTTGTACATAACAATTTTTGTCTCTTATCAAGGAGAAGTAAACAATATATGGAAGGAGCTACAAAGTTATGGGGCATTGGTGGAGATGGATTTGATTCATTGGAGGGTTTTGCGTTGTTTGAAGTTGCAACTCTTTCACTTTGATGAGCCAAAGATGGAAGCTATATTATTCCAAGATGGAGGGGATGGAAATAAAAACAATATTGGGGAAAAATCTTAGTAACAAGAAGAGACTGTTTTTTGTTTCTTGACTTGAAATAGAATGGTTTCTTTCGTTTATGCATGGACATGATATCTTTTTTTATTTTGGAGTATGCAACCATTTTGGATATTATGCAATATGAATGTGTAGAAAGTATGATTTATGAATGATTGAATGTTAGTTATTATTATATATCTTGTGATTCACATTATAAATTATAATTATTGCATTAAATATAATACTAAAATTTTAAAAAAAATATAATTTTATGAACGAATTCTAGCCATAACTGTATTTTTTTTTTAGGTTTTTTTCGTATCGTCGTATTTGTATTTATATCAGTGTTTCATAGGTTGTGGTTCTCATGCTCATCAAACAGTTCGTCAATTAAGAGACCCTCATGTACTATATTCTCCATCAATTCTTGACCACAGCCGTCAATTAGAACATCCCTTTGGAAGGTTTTGAATTGAGGAAATTAGGGAATCCACGAAGGATCCAAGTCACAACAAGACTGGTGTAATTTCAACAATATTTCCTTGGCAAAATATGGAAAGCACAATACAAAACTGAACTGACATTCTAGAACTATATTATACCCACCTGAGCAGCTTACTGGACTGTCCGGTGCATTCACCAAATCAACCAGGAATTTTTCCATTACATCGGCATTGTAATCCAGCTTCGGCCTATCAGAGTAACCCAAACCAGGCCAATCAATTATAGTAGCTCTCCAATTAACTTTACCATCTCGCTTAACAATATCTTTAGCAACTAATCTCCATTCCTCCACAGTGCTAACATCAGAAATTGTTGGTACCATAAGAATATTTTTAGCAGGCTCGGTGCTTTCCTTTTCATGTTCTTCATAGTAGATATCAATCAAATTATCTTTGAATTTCCACTGCCAATTATTAGTCTGAAAGAAAAAGATGTAAAAAAGATCATTACAAAACCAATTAGCACCCAAGTTTCAATTTTGAATTTATACTCACCTTAGATGAGGTCGTCGATTTGTCGGCGACTGACGCAGTTGAGTAGTCCAAGGAAGTCGAAGCCTTAACGGTTAGGGACTTTGGAAATGATGCGGTTTGAAATAGAGAGGCTCGGTAGGATTTGAAGGAAAGTCCGAGTGATGAAGAAGATGAAGAGAAATGAAGAATTCCGGAGGCGGCCATGGAAGGAGAAAGGATGGAGTGAGATTTAGGGTGTCAGAACACCGGGGAGAGAGAGAGACGTGAATTTGGATTGATTGTGTAGGGCGTAGAGACTGTACTCAGCATGGTTGCTGTGGGAGTAGTTGAAAATGTCTGGGGCAGAGAATTTTGACCGCTCGCAGTTGGATTTCTTGGGGAGAATACCGAGGGAAATTGCGGGGACAAAACGGTCACACCACATCATTACCAAGCATCGTAATTTGCAAAGCTGCCATAGTTAAAAATTAGAAAAAATTATATTTAAATTTTTTGAAATTTGTCACTTAATCACACAAACTCTTTATTATTTGAAATATTATACAAAATCCCCTAAATTTATACACACATAATACTTAAACTCCTATAGACTACGTCAAATGTCCGTTATATATCTGTTAATAAATTACACTCAGATCCTCTAAATTTTATAGACGTATAATACTTAGACCCCTCAAATTTAAGATGTTATATTTAAATCAAAAATACTCCAATTAAATATAAATATCAAATATTTTAAATTTTATAACTAAAATTCATGTTTTATTATGACATTTATTAAAATAATATTAAAATTAAAAATCTATTTTTTTATAAATAAATCACAATTAGTATATAATTATATTATCTATTGAAATTTAATTTGGTCATTAAAACGATCAAATTAAACTATTAAATTACCCTAATTAAAGCTAGAATATATTGTGTCTATTATAATTTGACTTCTTGTTTATTTTTTAGTTTTATTCCAATAGATAGTATAATTGTATACTAAATATGATTTTGTAAGAAAAATTAAATTTTTAATTTTAATTTTATTTCAATAAATAACATAATAAAACATGAATTTTAGTTGTAAAATTCTTGTTCTATTATGAATGACTTAAACCCCTTATTTGATTTTTTAATTTTATTGCAATAGATAGTATAATTGTATACTAATTACAATTTTTTTTTAAAAAAAATTGACTTTTTCTTTTTGATTTTATTTCAATAAATGATACAATAAAATATAAATTTTGAATTTACAATTAAAAATATTTGATATTCTATTTTAATTGGAGTATTTTTGATTTAAATATAAAATCTTAAACTTAAGGGGTTTAAATATTATACGTCTATAAACTTCATGCGGTCTGAGTGTAATTTACTAACAGAAATTTGACAACAAAGGTCTAAGTGTTATATATGCATAAATTTTAGGGGATTTGTGTGTAATATTTTAAATGTTAGGGGTTTAAGTGATTAAATGACAAATATTAAGGGTCTAGGTGTAATTTTCTCTAAACATTAAGCATGGATGCTATAATATTTATATTTTTAATAAAAAATTTAAATTATGCAGTTTAAAATAAAAATGAACAAAAAAAAAACAAGAGAGATATATGAGTGGGGAGTGTTTTGATTGGGTTATTTTTTTTAGCNGAACACCGGGGAGAGAGAGAGACGTGAATTTGGATTGATTGTGTAGGGCGTAGAGACTGTACTCAGCATGGTTGCTGTGGGAGTAGTTGAAAATGTCTGGGGCAGAGAATTTTGACCGCTCGCAGTTGGATTTCTTGGGGAGAATACCGAGGGAAATTGCGGGGACAAAACGGTCACACCACATCATTACCAAGCATCGTAATTTGCAAAGCTGCCATAGTTAAAAATTAGAAAAAATTATATTTAAATTTTTTGAAATTTGTCACTTAATCACACAAACTCTTTATTATTTGAAATATTATACAAAATCCCCTAAATTTATACACACATAATACTTAAACTCCTATAGACTACGTCAAATGTCCGTTATATATCTGTTAATAAATTACACTCAGATCCTCTAAATTTTATAGACGTATAATACTTAGACCCCTCAAATTTAAGATGTTATATTTAAATCAAAAATACTCCAATTAAATATAAATATCAAATATTTTAAATTTTATAACTAAAATTCATGTTTTATTATGACATTTATTAAAATAATATTAAAATTAAAAATCTATTTTTTTATAAATAAATCACAATTAGTATATAATTATATTATCTATTGAAATTTAATTTGGTCATTAAAACGATCAAATTAAACTATTAAATTACCCTAATTAAAGCTAGAATATATTGTGTCTATTATAATTTGACTTCTTGTTTATTTTTTAGTTTTATTCCAATAGATAGTATAATTGTATACTAAATATGATTTTGTAAGAAAAATTAAATTTTTAATTTTAATTTTATTTCAATAAATAACATAATAAAACATGAATTTTAGTTGTAAAATTCTTGTTCTATTATGAATGACTTAAACCCCTTATTTGATTTTTTAATTTTATTGCAATAGATAGTATAATTGTATACTAATTACAATTTTTTTTTAAAAAAAATTGACTTTTTCTTTTTGATTTTATTTCAATAAATGATACAATAAAATATAAATTTTGAATTTACAATTAAAAATATTTGATATTCTATTTTAATTGGAGTATTTTTGATTTAAATATAAAATCTTAAACTTAAGGGGTTTAAATATTATACGTCTATAAACTTCATGCGGTCTGAGTGTAATTTACTAACAGAAATTTGACAACAAAGGTCTAAGTGTTATATATGCATAAATTTTAGGGGATTTGTGTGTAATATTTTAAATGTTAGGGGTTTAAGTGATTAAATGACAAATATTAAGGGTCTAGGTGTAATTTTCTCTAAACATTAAGCATGGATGCTATAATATTTATATTTTTAATAAAAAATTTAAATTATGCAGTTTAAAATAAAAATGAACAAAAAAAAAACAAGAGAGATATATGAGTGGGGAGTGTTTTGATTGGGTTATTTTTTTTAGCAAAAAAAATAAATTAAAATGAATTTTGTACCACAAAAATCAAAGTAAAAAAAAAATAGATTAATTTTATCTATTGTTTGTGTTTTTATAAATGGAGAATAAAAATTTAACTTTTTAATTGTAATATTATATAAATTAAAAGATAAATACATATTTTATGTATATCACGAGTCTCACTTAGTTACTTGCCTCACAATGTTGCATTACATTTTCCGTCACCTTGATATTTAACTTAAACCTTTCGCAATGCCAACCTTCTTCAATCTAATACTTTGTGCGTAGCATTTGACAACATAAAATAAAATTATATTAGACATGATGCGTGTTAGTATTACAAATCAAAGACCAATATCGTGGTCATAGTGTCCCTATCCGAGTATCTCCATTTGCATCATACGTTACACAATGACCTGAAGGCAGAATGACTACAAAAGAAAGGGTCATTGTTGACTGTTTTCAAATTTGGAGTAATTTTTAAGTATAAGAACCTATACATATCAGGAAAAATGTGAGAAAAACCTGAATCAAAAGCTAAAGAATTTGCCAAGCAACCAATCTTACTTAACCAAACTGTCGGACCTCTTGTTTAATCTCCCAGAGAAGCAATCTACAATCCCCTTTTTCTAGTTTTCTTTTTCTTCTTTTTTCATCCGCAACACTTGTTCTCCCTATATTGTTCATTGTGCAACGACGGGTCAGTTGCTTTCCTCAATACATTGAAGTAATACTGTTTTAGTTACTAAATCAAACATGAGTGGCTAGTCATCTATGAGCTCTGCATGAAGAACCAAACATCCTTTAAAGAGTGAACTTGATCTCTTAACTCTCACCACAATCTCCATTTCATCAACATTAGAAACCAGCTTCATTGAAATCTGATAGCAGTAGCAACGCCCTTGAAAACCTTGCCTTACAAATCACGAACTTTCCATTCCAAAGCAACAGCATGCTTCTGACTTTGCATATCAAGCAACACATCACCAACCAGTGGAATGTGACCACCTTTGACTTCAAGTTCGATCATAATCTTCCTAAGATTCTCACAAGCATCGTCTGTAATTTTACCTTTTCTCTTTCCCTTCCCACTTTCACCCTCCCCACGCCACAAAACTGTACGTGAACTTTCACTAATCCACCAACCAGGGTTTTCCTGCATCTTCTGATTCATCTTTAATCTTCTCACAAGAGCGAAGTCCGTCCATTTCCCCGCAATGGCATCACATTTATGATTTAACAACAAAATGAAGTCATTAGAATTTTTGGGATCCACCTCGTGATGTGACCATTCCTTTCCTTGCTCCAGCAGTTCAGCATTTTTTATGAATAATGCAAGCTTCAAGAAGAGTTTGATTTCACTCATACTGGTTTAATGACCAGCCTTTGTTCTGCTATTTTTCCCATTGGCTTGATTGACTGAAAGCTTTCTAGCTTGCTTCTTATGCTCTGATGGTTCAGTTGCTTTGCCGAAAAGAGCTTTCCTACAGACCTGGCTTTCTCCGGAGCATATTGGTTTGCTGCGCTAAATAGGACAGTTTGGCCTCCAGAAATGACGCAAAGGGGAAAAAAAATCCCTGGACCAATTTGGTATTGCTTTTGCGGCCCACACAAAACAGTGTTTTACCCCTAGATGTCCAGGTTCAAGTGCTGACAAAGGGTCACAGGTCAAAAGGAAAGCTGCAGGTGTTGTGTCGTTGACATGGTTCTCAATGTGCTTCCGCAGGGACCATCAACCGGAGGCAGCTCCAGAGGGGCTGAAGAAACCATGTCAGCTACTCAATTAGTCATCAATCACCAGTAATCTCTACACGAACAAGAGCCATAGTTGAAAGAGTGAAATCGACTTCTGTCTCTCAATACAATCTCCAATACATAAACCTTAGAGCTCAGCTTCATCACGGTATGACAGTCCTTGCACACCCTCAAATTTTTCACTATTCTTATGACACTACCCTTGCACAACCTTCCAATCCCGAAAGCAACAGCAAGCTTCTCATTGTGCTTAGACACCGCATCCTCCTTTTCTTCCTCTTCTATATCATGTAACACACTGCCAACCTCTGGAATTTAACCTCCTTCAACCCTAAACTTCAACATTATCTCCCTTAATTTCTCATAAGCCTCCTGAGTTGTCTTGTTTTGTTTTTCACCAGCCATAAAACTATACATAACTTTTTCAACTTCAATCATGCTCCAACCAGGAGTTTTCTTTAACCTTTGTCAGTCATTGATCTCCTTACAGTGGTTACATCCTTCCATTTCCCTGCAACAGCATAAATATTCGACAACAGAACATGGTCACCAGATTTGTTAGGATCCAACTTGGAAAGCCTTTCCTTCACTTGCTCCCCCAACTCAACATTACCAAAAAAGCTGCATTGGGAGGAATTGACATTTGAATTACAAAATCGTAAGCCTTCTGCAATTGACCAGCTCGACCATATAAATCAACCATACAACCATAATGCTCAATTGCTGGTTCTATGCCATGTCTTATAGTCATCATAGAAAAAAATTCACAACCTTGTTGAATCAAACCAGCATGACTACAAGCATACAGGATTGAAATAAAAGTGATCCCATCAGGTCTAATTCCAGAACCTTCCATCTCGTGAAAAAGTGTTATTGCCTCTTCACCATATCCTTGCATTGCAAGCCCTGAAATCAAAGAAGTCCAGGAAACAATGCTCTTCTTCCCTGGCATTCTTTCAAAAACCAAACGAGCCATGGCCACATTTCCACATTTTGAGTATGTATCCATGAGTGCATTATTCACAGAACTAATCCAATTCAACCCAACTTTCTCTATACACCCATGTAAGATCTTCCCGAACTCAGACGCCCCAGCTTGTGCACAAGCAGATAGGACCCCTGTCAAGCTCACCTCATTTGGCCTCATCCTCACCCTCTTCAACTCCCTGAAAAACCCAAATGCATCATCAAAACAACCATTATGAGCCAACCCAACAATCATTGTACTCCAAGAAATAAAAGCAAAAGAAAAGCTATCAGGAGTGGTGAGTGATTTTCGGCGCATATCAATGAATGTGGTCAGAGAATTTTGAGGAAAATAGGACTCGGAGAATCCTTGAATGAGGTTATTTTACATGAATACATCTGGATTCGGAATATGGAGGAAGAGACGACGGGCATAGTCGAGTGCGTCAGTGATTAAAACTACGCGGTGTAGGAGGAGTTTTTCGGCGAGAAAGAGGTCGTTGTCGAGGCCTGTTTTACAGACGTGAGCTTGAACTTTGATGATGCACAAATTAGTTTGCACACTACTAGTCAAGTTATAGTATAAAATACAGTAAATAGAAAGGGAGAGAAGACAAGATTTATAGTGGTTCGGTCAATACGACCTACGTCCACTTTGAATGGCTAGATTCGCCGGAATTTTATTATCTCCGGTGTGGAAGGAGAACACATGATTACAAGATTTGAGAGGGGAGGAGAGAATTATGCTCAAATAAGTCTGATACCCCCCAAGTGTTAGGGTAGCTTACAATTTATAGTGGCTTGGCATAGTAATTGTATGACTAGTCTGATGGTCATAATGACTTAAGACCGTTTGATAGTAATTAAGTAGTTGATCTGACGGATGTGACCTATCATCTTCTCAACGGACGAGGTGTGACGGTTGGTGTGCTCTCTAAATGACTTGTTCAATGATGAGGGAGGTTGACTCTCTCCAGGCTACGAGGGTGACGCTCCTAAATGCTCCCTTGGTGGTGATGGTGAGGTTGATGGATGCTCCTTTAGTGGCATAGAGGAGACTTTTGGATGACTCTTACTCTAAGGTGGTAGAGGAGACCCTTGGATGACCCTTACTCCAAGGTGGTAGAGGAGGCTCTTGGATGACCGTGCATACTCCCCTCCTGATGTAGCTCTTTGATCTGGATAAGGTTATTCGGGTGTAGATTCATTTGGGCTTAACTAACTAGATCTCTTGGAATTGGGCCTTTAGCTCGGACCAGGCTTATAACATGGGTTGGGATTGTCCCATCATTTGCCCCTCAATGCCCTACGTCCAACAGAACTTGAAAAGGAGGACATTTAAGTTGAATTTGAATTTTCGACTGATCGACATAACTGAAAAAATTTTGAGAGACCAAAATATCCGTTTTATAGTCCTTTTTTGGACTTTTAACAACATCATTCACAGTTATAGGCTATAAGTATTGTAGGGCTCGTCAAGAGCTTCGATTTAATATATTATAAGCCTTATTTCAAGCAATAGAGCAAAAGTTACGGTCAAAATTTCGAGCAAAGAGTTAGGCGAGCAAAGCACTGTTCTGGGCGAGCAGAAATTATTTTATTTTTTATTTTTTTTAAACTTTGGGAGGCTAAAACACCTCTTTCTGAACATTTTTTAGACTTTTTTTTGAAAAGCTCATTACTTAAAGTACTGAGTTTTGCTCAGCTCGTCAAGAGCTTCGATTTAGTATATAATAAGTCCCATTTTAAGTTACGAACTAAAAATTATGGTCAAAATAACGAGCAGGGAGCCAAAGGCGCGTTTTTGAGCAAACATCTAGCTTTTGGGTGAGCAGGCCACCTCCTTGGCGAGCAAGCCACCTCTTGGCGAGCATACAACCTCTTGGGCAAATTTTTTTGTTTTTTTTTTAAAAACTTGGAGAGACCAAAACATCTCTTTTTGGACTTTTTTGGGAAAGTTCATTACTAATAGTAATGAGTTTTGCTCATCTCGTTGAGAGTTTCGATTTTATATATAATATGTTTCATTTTGACTTACGTAACAAAATTTATGGTCAAAATAGCAAGTAGACGCACTGGCGCGGGATTTTGGGTGAGCAAGCATTGCTCTGGGTGACCATGCAGCTGGGCACGCTGTTTTGGGCGAGCAAAAGGCCTTGGGTGAGCTGGGGAATTACCTAAGCGCCACTCCAGGTCGTCTTGAGGAGCAGCCTACTCGCGTAGGAGGGGTGGTCTGGCGTGGATATGGGAAGGCAGGGGCCGAGAAAGGCCTGGGCGAGCAGGCGGCATCGCTGTGCATTGCTACAGTTCAAGCAGTAGGTGAGGGAGCTGCTCGAGTCTTCATGCATGTTGGCCTGCACCCTAGGCGTGCTGATTTGGTCCATCAGGCGCCTAGGGGCACTGATCCTAGTGAGCAAGGAGGTGGAAAGAAGGCTAGTCTTGGCGTGAAGGCACCAAGAGGCACTATTTTGGGCGAGCACAAATGGTTGGGCACCTGCAAGACTACTTTGCTTATACGAGCAAAGGGGGCCAAACACCTCTCTAGGCACTAGGCTGCCCATTTAGGCAAGCAGAGGGGGTCAGACACTTCTCTAGGCACTGGATTGAGTAGTGCAAGCTATAAGAAAATTTTGGGTGCCACTTTTGGTGATGATTCGAGGAGTTCAGGTAGTCAAGGAGCTTTGGATGCCCCTGTAGGGAATTCAGTTCTCGCCCATGCAGGCGGGGTTGCCCAGGAATTTCTTGGCGAGCTTGGTTTTGGAGCCTGGGGGTAGAGTACGCCAGACACTTTCAGCTGTGATGGTCCAGCTCCTCTCAGTGCACCTTCTTAGAATCAAATTCTTCCATAATATTCTGAGGATTATTTCTGCTTATCACATCCCTCAAATGGATCTATGTCGCCGAGCTGAGATAGGGTGAACCTGCTTATGATGACAAAAATAATGTTATTCCAAATATTAAAATATTTAACATGATTACTTGAAGAGAGAGGCAGACTGTTTGTGCGAGAGCAAAACAGAGTTTGAGGATTGCTCGTGAGAGAGCTACATCTTTTGAGATCGAGTTTTTGGCGACCCATGAGAGAGTTTTTAAGTTTGAGGTATAGGCTACTTGCTTGAGAGCAGAGCAGATGCCAAGCTTTTTTGGCGACTAGTGAGAGAGCCGAGAGATAGACTGCTTGTTTGAGAACAATGCAAAGGTCAAGTTTTTTTGACGACCCGCGAGAGAGCCGCTAAGCTGGAGATAGGCTGTCTGTGTTGAGAACAGTGCAGAGATAGGCAAGCTTTTTGGCGACCCTCGAAAGAGCCGCTAAGTTGGAGATAGACTACCTGTTTAAGAACAGTGTAGAGAGTAGGCCAAGCTTTTTGACGACCCTCGAGAGAGTCGCTAAGATGGAGATAAATTACTTGTTTAAGAACAGTGTAGAGGCAGGTCAAGCTTTTGGCGATCCATGAGATGATTCCCCTCGCCTGGACCTGTTGATTTCCTCAGCATTCATAAATTTTTGAACTTTTGCCAATAGTTCTGGCATGCTCTTTGGTGGGCGTTTCATCATGGAGAAAAGGAAGCTTGATGACCGAAGGCCTCCCAAGAAGGCGGTCATGCTGACTTTTTCATCGGGCTCTTTGGCTTGAAGGACCTCCTCATTAAAACGAGTGAGGTAGCTTCGCATGCTCTCACATCGGTCCTGCTTTATGCTGAGCAGGTGGGTGGCAGGCTTCTGGTGATGGCGACCTCCAATAAAGTGCAACACGAAAGACCTACTCAGCTCAACAAATGAGTCGATGGAAGCGGGGGTGATCTTGGTGAACCACTATCGAGCAGATCCTTTCAAGGTGATTGGGAACTCTCTGCACATGATTTCGTCAGGGACGTTGTGCAGTTGCATCAAGGTCTTAAAAGTTTCAAAGTGATCCAATGGATCTTTCATACCATCAAAGGTTTCGACGAATGACATCTTGAATTTTTGAGGAAGTGGATAGTTCGCCATGTCAAGTTTGAAAGGTGTGTCGGTTCGACTTACAAGGTAATCCACTATCTCGGGTCCTCGTGCCTTCATGGCGTTGAATACATTACCTAATTGATTATGTATTTCCTTAATTTTTTCGTCCCAATGATTAGGAGGATATCCCTTGGAATTACCATGAATATGGCTCCCATGCTCCAAGTTTTGGTTTTTACCCTCGTCCTCTTGGAAAAGAGGGTCTTCACCATGAAAAGAAGGAGCTAGAAGAGGAGGTGGAGGTCCCTTGTGGGGAGCTCCCCTGTGTGGGGCGCCTGAGGGGACTCCAAGGGGGGCGCTCAGATGAGGAGCACCCATGTGGGGAGCTCCTTGACGCCCAAGACGTGGAGTTCTTCTGACTTGAGGTCTAGGTTGTGCTCTTCCTCTTAGATGAGGAACACCTATATGGGGAGCTCCTTGACGTCCAGGGCGTGGAGCTCCTCTGACTTGAGGTCCAGGTTGTGCTCCTCTTCCTAGATGAGGAACGACCATGTGGAGAAATGCTTGACACCCAAAGAGCATTAGTTGTAGGATCTGTTGGTTCTAGGGCGCAAGTTGCTGCATGGTCTCGAGCATCTGTTGCTCATTTGGGGTAGGATTGGTTGGTTGAGGAGCAACCTCCTCCTCTCTTGGTAGTGGGTTATCTTCAAGCTGATTCATGGATCTAGATTTGGTGGTGATTGTCATTAGTTCAGCTAATGAAGTGTTTAGAAGTGAGTATTTTGTCGTTCCCACAGACGGCGTCAAACTGATGATGCATAAATTAGTTTGCACATCACTAGTCAAGTTATAATATAAAATGTAGTAAGTAGAAGGGGAGAGAAGACAATATTTATAGTGGTTCGGTCAATACGACCTACGTCCACTTTGAATGACTAGGTTCGCCGAAATTTTATTATCTCCGGTGTGAAAGAAGAGCACATGATTACAAGCTTTGAGAGAGGATGAGAGAATTATGCTCAAATGAGTCTGATGCCCCCCAAGTGTTGAGGTAGCTTACAATTTATAGTGGTTTGATATAGTAATTATATGACTAGTCTGACGGTCATAATGGTTTAGGACCGTTTGATAGTAATTAGGTAGCTGATCTGGCGGAGACGACCTATCATCTTCTCAACGGGCGAGGTGTGACGGTTGGTGTGCTCTCCAAAGGACTTGTTCAATGATGAGGGAGGTTGACCCTCTCCAGGCTGCGAGGGTGAGGCTCCTGGATGCTCCCTTGGTGGTGAGGGTGAGGTTCCTGAATGCTCCTTTGGTGGCGTGCAGGAGACTCTTGGATAACCCTTACTCCAAGGTGGTAGAGGAGACGCTTGGATGACCCTTACTCCAAGGTGGTAGAGGAGGCTCTTGGATGACTGTGCATTCTCCCCTATTGATGTAGCTCCTTGATCTTGATAAGGTTATTCAGGTATAAATTCATTTGGACTTGATTAGTTGAATCTTTTGAAATTGAACTTTTAGCTCGGACTAGGCTTATAACATGAGTTGGGTCTGACCCATCAAACTTGTTTGACGCTTTTCAGGGTCTTGCAACCATTCAACAACGAAAGGCCGAATCGTTCCTTCTTGTTCATTCTCTATACTCGATCCATCCTTTCAAAGCTTTGCTCCTTCATTTGAATTTGGGAGCGAAAGTGTACATAGCCGTTTTGATTTGCGAATCACAAATTATTCACAATATAAATTACACTTTAACCCATGTTAATTATGGCTCTACTCTCACTTTGGCCCTTCAATTGTTGATTTTATATATATTATACTCTCAATTACTTGATCGAATTTTAGATTACCTAAACTAAGATTTTTTATACTAAAACATACAATTTTTAATTGATACGGTGCAAAATACAACCATATTCGGAGGTAAAAGTTGCTAAATGTGATAGATAATGTAACAAAGTGAAATTAATAACAATAATTATAGGTGTAATGTAAAAATTATAAAAATTGATAGAATTATATGAAACATATGACATAATTGAGGGGGTCAAAGTATAATTTGTCCTCAAAGTCAGTGTTGAACTTGGCCAATCTCAGCGTTGAAGGGTTTTACCACTCAACGCCACACGAGGACCTCTGCCGTCTCCGTCACTGCCTACAGAGAGAGAGAGAGAGAGAGAGAGAGAGAGAGAGAGAACTCTCCCTAAGATGGTGCAGCGTCTCACGTACAGGAAACGCCATAGTTATGCCACCAAATCCAACCAGCATCGGATTGTCAAAACCCCTGGTATCTGTTTGTATATATACACACCTATTAATATATTCTGTATGTATATATAATCGAAAATGGCAAAAACGTAGCTTTTCCGAAACCTAGTATTGCATTTGCTTCTGATTCTAAATAGATCTTTGCGCCTTTGTGTTCATGTAGTGTCATGTTATATGTAAAGCTCTATTCAGATGGCTTCGTTTTTGTATTTTTTTTGCTCTTAAACCCTAGATTTTTCTGCTATGTGAACACACTCCGTCACGCATATTTATGATTATGCATTGGAAAGTGTTTTAATTAGTTGTTTCTGCTGATTGAAATATAGGGGGAAGGTTGGTGTACCAGAGCACTAAGAAGAGGGCTAGTGGGCCAAAGTGTCCTGTTACTGGAAAGAGAATCCAAGGGGTATGGAATTCTTGTTTCGCTCACCTGTACATTTGAAATCAGTAACGTAACAATACTAATTGCTCTCAGCTTGTTGTGGACCTTCAGAATTTAATTCTTAAGTTGTATTGTTGATATTTTGTTTTAGCTAATTGTCGGCTTGTAAATGATTATGTGATGTGAGTTTTCAGCTCTTGTTCTTAAACCTAACTTATTCCTAGCTGTGAAGTATGGTGGAATTGATTTGACGAGTCAAATATGTAATCTTTGGGCAATTATTGGACAGCTTCACCTTGGTAATGCCTTTTCGTTCGTGGTTTTTTTTTTTTCCGAATAAAAAACCAATTAAAATAGCATGTGCTTGTAGAGTACTAGTTTTTTCACTCCTTTTCCTATGGAAGTTGGATTTTCAGGTTTATGTGGTTGTCTTGGATTTAGGTTTGTCTAGAGATGAGGCCCAACACAATGGGTTTTATATTATTATTAAAAAGTGAGGGGGAATTTGTGTACTGCCCTAAGGACTATTTCTAATAGAACATGCAATCATGAGGTGAGCTTTGTGTGATTTAAGCAGGACACTCAAATGCGTGTGTTCTGGCACTGCTCTCCCTTAATAATAATTATAGATGTGTGCTGTGTTGTGAAACTTGGGTTCTTAATTATCCATGGTCTAACATATCCTTTTTGTCATTTTGTTCATTGATCTTATTTTTCTAAATGCGTGGAGCATATCTTTAACTATCTCAGTATCCTTCTACAACTCTACTCAATTAAAATAAGCCTTGTTACTTCTCTTTGAGATTAATTATTTTAATTTTCTTTCAACATTTTGCTTTGTCCAAGACCATGATTTCCCATTATTTATGTTTCTAACTATCCAAATATATAAAACAATTGCCTTTTTGCCCGTATGATAGTTTGTTTGATTTTTTCACCGGAAATAAACCCCTAGTAAAAGTGAAGGTTCTACATCAAGTTTATTGGTCTATGTTGTATTGTGATTGTTGCATAAGAAAATTTGTATTTAATTGTCGACTTTATGATGGAGAAGTTAATAATAGTCTTGTTTTCTTATAGCTCAAGAAGATAATGCCAAAGTTCTTCAACCAGGTTCGAAGTATCGGCCGAGTCTAATACAACTCAGCCACCTCTGGTCCAATACTAATACTTGTTATACAAATATCACGAGTCCTCTTTGAATCAGTGTTGACTCGGTCAGGATTTAGATTTATCGACCTAACTCTGAGTTAGCTCGGTTGTAACTTGTTTGACCCAAACAATTCATATCAAAATCAGTCCTCCTTGTGAAATCTTTAAAAATATATAAAAAGCCAAAGAAAAAGGGAAAAGGAGAAAAAAAACCAACATGCAAATGTACAAAATTTCACTTTTAATGGCAAGAAATCACATGCGAAGCAAACACATGATTTGCGCTGCAAACTATAACAACTTGATCTCTCCTTCCCAACTATCAGAACTGCGACTAAAGCATCCGATCTTGTTGAAGTCATCTATTAGGTCCCAATTTTTACAGCTCCATCTAGACCGATCAAAGAGTTGAAAGACTGTCAAAAAAAAGTCTGATGCATATTGTTTTTCTTTTTGGGTTATTTTAAAGATTATCTCTATTTGGATTTTTTGGTTATCTTGAAAGTTTGTTTCTAGAGTTCTCTTTTCTAATTTTTTAGTAGGGTTTTTTAATTACTTTTGGGTGTATTAAAGATTATGTAATTGGGTATATTTGTATTTTTTTTAATATTTAAAAGTAAATGTAAATGTAAATTTTTTTGGTAGCATTCTTGTATTTTTTTTAAACTATATATAATGTGTTGGATGATGTGTTTTGGACATATGAATTATGATGCATCAATACCATTATTTTTTCTTAGAATTATTCATTTTTTTCCAAAACTATTTTGGCCTTCCATCTAGCCTTCTGACGGCTGATGCTGTGTCGTAACGTCGCAACCGATATGTATCAATATGCTTATGCACCAAGTCAATGACTGATATCGTGATCTTGAACCAAGTTCTTCAAATATTCTCCTAGTAGTGGTTTGATGATGCATTCTGTAAATTATTATGAAAGTGTTATTGAGAAATTTTAATCTTTTCCTAGGCATATAGATAGCTAGGAAAACATTGTGTTGGGTTCAAATTTGTGCAAATGCCATGCCCATTGCTATGTGGTGAAAATGTAATAGAAGCTTTTAGTTTGATTGAATATTGCATATTTACAGAAGTTTCCTTTTTATCAGTGCTTTTTTTTTTCCTGATAATCCTTCTTTTTTTTGGTTCTTTGTGAAATAATTTAGATCCTAAACTTAAATGTTCTTGTTTATGTTATCATTTTGACAATCTGTTTCAATTTGCATGTTAAATTTGTCCTGTCATTTGTTGCTTTTGGACCCTCTTGGATGATTATATGCTCTTGGATGCTCAAAAAAATGAATTTAGATTTTAATTTGTTAGCTTTTAAACTTCTCGTTGGTTTCTCATGCAATGTACATTCTGTTTTTGGCATATTGCATAGTTCAGTAATCAGCATTTGATTATAATTCTGATGCTTAATGGGAAAAAAACTAAGATATCTGGGAGTGATGGTTCTATGTGCAGATTCCTCATGTGAGACCTGCTGAGTACAAGAGGTCCAGATTATCAAGGAACCAAAGGACTGTGAACCGTGCTTATGGTGGTGTATTATCTGGAGGTGCTGTGAGAGAGAGGTTGGTTCGTGTGACATCCCTTAATCCGTGTCCATAGATAAATAATTAGAACCCACTCGCTATATAATTGTTCGCATCAGCATTATGGGACCTCATTTTCTGAAACTTTGTTTAAGTTTCTTGCCTTTTTTTGGGGAAAACTTTTGCTCATTTAATATTGGTTTTGTAGGGTTATCCGCGCCTTCTTGGTAGAAGAGCAAAAGATTGTGAAGAAAGTTATAAAGATTCAAAAGGCAAAAGAAAAGCAGGCGGCAAAGAGCTAAGATGACGCATTTAAGATACTTCAGTTTAAGTGTGCTTGAAAGAAATTTTGACTTTAAGAGAAGATTATAATGTGTGCACTATATTTATTTTGAGGTGAGTATTTTTCAAATTGACGGCCGGCGTTTTAGTTGGTTTTGATTTCAAATTCCAGTTCAATACTGTGGCTTAGTGTACTATACGAGGATATTGATCTGAATCATCAAAACATTATTTTGTTGAGACTTGGAATGAAATGGGATCTGTCTTTGGGATGGAAGTTCATTGGAATGTCATTAGTCCATGCTGTAGATACTGTTTTCATAGATAACCAATGATTTTATATCCTAGCGTTGGATCTTTTATTATTGTTTTTTTATTCAATAGGGGAGTTTAAATGAATCTAGCTTGCATATGGGTTGTTTGGTCGCTGTTTGCTGAATCCTGAGGCATGGACAGTTATGTTGGGGATGTGCATTATTATTAACAATTCTGAGATTGATGAATATGGTGAGATGTACTTGGCGATGGGTCGAAATATATAAAGTTGGTCAGAGCATATATACAACTCTAATCAACTTACCAAAGCGTTTATTCTAATTATTTGATGTCGGCCATATAAATCTTGTTTCTGCATTATGTTCTATTTGGGCGTAGTATATCTCCTAGCTTACTAAAGATGCCACTGTGGCTTCAATGGTATGGTATGAGATGAAGTGTTAGTCATGTTGCACTTTCGGGTGATCCAGAAGCTGTTGATAGTGTTTACATATGTAAATCGTTTATGATGTTTTAGTCTTCTTTTTAATTCTTTGGCATATTCTGAGTGATATTGCATAACCTTGTAGATCTAGAGGTTTCTGAGTTGACTCTCTGCTGATATTATCCCCCCCACCCAAAACCAAAAAAAAATTACTGTTTCGCACTTGATCACTTTATGCATGTACAAACCTTTCAATAGAGTTTCAACTAATTAAACCTTCTGAAGTCTCATATATTCATCACAGTAATTACAGTAAGTGGTGATATAAACGACGTTAGATTTTTGATTTCTATTTTTTGATCTGAAACGACTTCTGATTAGAGAATAGAATTACTTGTGCTTCTTGGTGAACATTGAATCGAGCATATTAGAACCAGCTAATACTCTGGTCATGATATCACAGTTGAAAATTGAATTATCAAGCAGGTGTGCCCATTATCATATTGGTGTTGGCCTTATTACATAACATGGAAACAGTCTCCAGACACGCAGATGGCCTTATATCCACCATTCACCACTCTCACCAGGAAAAAAAAAAACTGATCAAGGCTTTGGAATCTGCAGAGCATTCTGTCGAATGTGCTGAAAAAAAGCCACCATCTTAGCATGGGACGGTATAGTCTCTTTCACCACGGGGAGCTCATTAAGAGCAGTCACCCATGAGCATATAAGTGGATTCCTTTCACGATCTAAGAGTTTCACGCCAATGGCTTCTTCAACTGCTTTGTAGGAACTCAGAATCGAAAACGCTATTATGTCGAGCATTCCCAAGTTCTCGCCATTGATCACGGGAGTACCATCTGGGAAAAGATCCTTCATTCCCTCTTCCACCACCTTGAGATTCTCGGACACCTTTTCGATGACTTTCTCTTGTGCCTCCCCAGCAGTGGCAACCACCGGGCGCATACTATCAAACAGCTGCATCAATGGAAATTGCTGGCATTAGTTGTTCAAGTGTTTTCAGTCAATCATAAACAAGATAAATGCTTTAAATGTGTTAATCAAGCCGAGCTTACTAAACTTGTTTATACGGCTCAATTGTGATTGGTCAACTATTTACCTTAAATATTTATTCAAGCTTGGCTCAACAAAAGCTTGAGTACATTCAAGCTGAAACTGAGCTTAATTTGTCAATAAAATTTTTTTTAAAAAAAATAAATCTTTAACAACAAAGAAACCCCACCAAAATCTGAATAAAATCAACTATAAAAGAAACTCTCAAAGCTTAATTTAAATCTTATAGAGAATGTGTCAAAACAGAGTTAAACCAAACCAAACTCAAACTAATCGGATTGTATAACAACCCTACTCATAGTTATAGCATTATATACAACCTCCTGACTGAGAAAGCTGGCCCAAAAGCGAACGGTGGCTCTAGTGTAAGAATCCTGAGGGAGAAGCCTCGGAGCAGTGCTCCAGGTTTCATCAATATATTCAAGAATGAGAAGTGACTCAACAATGGGTTTTCCATGGTGGACTAGTACAGGGACTTTTTTGTCAACTGGATTGTATTGTAGAAGTAAGTGACTCTTGTTCCTCAGATCTTCTTCTACATACTCATAGGGTATGCCTTTCACTTTGAGAGCTAGTTCCACCCTCTTAGAATAAGGGCTTGCCCAAAATCCATGTAACTTCACATCCATCTGTGTGTGTGTGTGTGTGTGTGTCTTTGGTCATAATAATGCAAGCTTTAAATAGAGTATAGATCATGCCCCTTAACTTCCTTGTCAAGCTTTAGCCAAAAATAAAAAATTGCTTGTTGCTTATCTTCCTTGTCAAGCTTTAGCCCCAAATAAAAAATTGCTTGCTCATGGGCTTTGACCAACTGTTAGTCAATCATCAATTAATTGGGAGTTACATTACTAATAGTTCTTTCCCAGATGCAAGATCATATTTTATATATGCTGTTGCAGTTGCTTACTCAGGGTGGCTTTTTGAGGTAAACATGTATCGACATCTTGGATTCTTCCCAAGGTGTTAGCTTGGACCAACTACCCCAAACTCAGATCTGTACATAGATTTTCAACATTCAGGTTGAGCTCGAAAAAAAAAACTACCCTAATGAAATGTAATTATTACTTAGATTAGGATATCAGATTCTTATGACCCAACCTGAATCCGTTCAGACTCAAGTTTGGTTCGAGCCCAAATTTTTGTTTTTATAACTAACCTATCAACCCACCCGATTTACATTTCTAATTATTTCATTTAGAAAACCAAGTACAAGCTTCTTCTTTTTCTTTGTTTTTTTGGGGGGATTTGACCACAGGATAAGCTCATAAGTCATAACAGCATAGTACACCTTTCTTCTCGACTAGGGTCAGATTATGTTGATATGTCCATTCAGTATTCTGACCAAAGTTCTTCCAAGATCCCTAGAAATGCTCTATATGACAATTGAAGTTGTCCATCATACTCCATGCTTGAGAAGTGGAAAATGCCATCAGCCTGAAATGCTATTTGCAGCTTGGAGACAAAACCTTAATCTTCTCACTTAGTTGGATGGCTCAAATTTGATTTCGAAAATTCAGACTCTCTATAGGACAAACTTGCCCAGTTAAAAATGTTGTAAAAATCCAAGAATTATTTAATAAAATTCAATAAATAATTGATGCGATCAACGAGAGAAGGATATAGTAACAAGATAAATAACCGTTGACACTAGAATATAAAATGTGCTTATAGAATATATGTAAGAAAACTTACTGATAGAGGTGAAATAGTAACTGTTCTCAAGAGTGCGTGACCTGGTCGTGCAGACTATGGCACTATACCCTCCTTGATTCAATTGTCACTTCTCAAGCATAACTTCCAACATTAACAACCACCTCTCTGCAGGGGGTGCACTCCAAGTGTGGAGGTGTCCAGAAGTGCTCTTTATGTCATTACCAAATCAAGGAAAATTATTCAGTGATCAAATCCCTCGAGAGACACTTACAGTAGATAGTACGCAACAGAGAAGTAACACTTATAACAGTACCAAAAATTCATAGACACGTTGAACAATATCTTGGCCCAGATCAACTCGCATAATATATAGAGCCAAGCCAGTGGTTTCAACTCTCTATCACACATCACATAACAAAAATTCAAAGAACATCTAGCCCAGCTATAGAATTTACTTGGCCAATTTCTTATAATCAGAATACAGATTATACTCAGCATACCATTACCTGGGCCGTTGAGGTGCTAGAGACTGATATTACCACTGCGCATCTTCTGGAAACACCAGATTCACAGGTGGAAAAATACTAAAAACACAGCAACATGAACCCAAGTATATACATTCAACTTTCTGCGAATCTTGGTTATCCTGAAAATAAACGCCAGACAGATATCAAAAATATCCATCTTTATGCATTTTTGGAGAAACATTAAAACCTTAACTTTGTCATAAAACATTGAAAAGTTAAAAAAAAAAAAGCACATATTTAATTATAGACAAACGTCCAAACAAACTATCAGTTTAATTATGCCCTCTTCTTGTTATTGCTGAGAGTCCACTCAGGAAAAATAAAGAATCATCCTCCTCTTTTACCTTCTAGTGTAATAAGATAATGAAAATTACATACAAAAGTTAAACGACAAGGAGACAAAAAGTGGGGAAGCCAACCTGCACAATTTTACCACAGCCAACAGCTTCAGAAGAGGCATAAAAGGAACTTGAATGGCTTTCAAATTGTGCCTCCAACAGCCATTCGATAGCACGTAGTAAGAGGGGCTACTTGTGTAAAACAATATAAATCAATCAATTCATCTACTTGCAAGAAAAACCAAATAGGCAAAATGGATGTCCAGAAAGTGGAAAACGTAAACAATAGTTCCTCCAGACATTGGAGGCCATGTGCATTCAACAACGAAAACAAGTTCATGCATTTAAAGTCTGCTAGCAGAGATCTAATCAAAAGTTGGATAAGTAAAAACTAACCATCAAGCATTGATATTTTTCCCATTGGTTTGATTGACTGAAAGCTTTCTAGCTTGCTCCTTATGCTCTGGTGGTTCAGTTGCTTTGCCAAAAAGAGCTTACCTACAGACCTGGCTTTCTCCAGTGCATATTGGTCTAGCTGCGCTAAATAGAACAGTTTGGCTTCCAGAAATGACGCAAAAGGAAAAAAAATCCCTGGACCAATTTGGTATTGTTTTCGCGGACCACACAAATCAGCGCGTTACCCCTAGATGTCCAGGTTCAGGTCCTGACGAAGGGTCACAGGTCAAAAAGAAAGATGTAGGTGTTATGTCGTTGACATGGTTCTCAATGTACTTCTGCAGGGACCATCAATGGGAGGCGGCTCCAGAGGGGCTGCAGAAACCATGTCAGCTACTCAGTTAGCCATCACTCACCAGTAATCTCTACACGAACAAGAGCCATAGTTGAAAGAGTGAAATCGACTTCTATCTCTCACTACAATCTCCAATACATAAACCTTAGAGATCAGCTTCATCATGGTATGACAGTCCATGCACACCCTCAAATTTTTCACTATTCTTATGACACTTCCCTCACACAACCTTCCAATACCGAAAGCAACAGCAAGCTTCTCACTGTGCTTGGACACGGCATCCTCCTTTTCTTCCTCTTCTATATCATGCAACACACTGCCAACCTCTGGAATATAACCTCCTTCAACCCTAAGCTTCAACATTATCTCCCTTAGTTTCTCATAAGCCTCCTGAGTAGTCTTGTTTTGTTTTTCACCAGCCATAAAACTATACATAACTTTTTCAACTTCAATCATGCTCCAACCAGGAGTTTTCTTTAACCTTTGCTCAGTCATTGATCTCCTTACAGTGGCTACATCCTTCCATTTCCCTGCAACAGCATAAATATTCGACAACAGAACATGGTCACCAGAATTGTTAGGATCCAGCTCGGAAAGCCTTTCCTTCACTTGCTCCCCTAACTCAACATTACCAAAAAAGCTGCAGGCTCCCAGAACAGTCCGCCAAAGAATGGCATTGGGAGGAATTGGCATTTGAATTACAAAATCGTAAGCCTTCTGCAATTGACCAGCTCGACCATATAAATCAACCATACAACCATAATGTTCAATTGCTGGTTCTATGCCATATCTTATAATCATCATAGAAAAATATTCACAACCTTGTTCAATCAAACCAGCATGACTACAAGCATACAGGATTGAAATAAGAGTGATCCCATCAGGTCTAATTCCAGAACCTTCCATCTCGTGAAAAAGTGTTATTGCCTCTTCACCATATCCTTGCATAGCAAGCCCTGAAATCAAAGAAGTCCAGGAAACAATGCTCTTCTTCCCTGGCATTCTTTCAAAAACCAAACGAGCCATGGCCACATTTCCACATTTTGAGTACGTATCCACAAGTGCATTATTCACAGAACTAATCCAATTCAACCCAACTTTCTCTATACACCCATGTAAGATCTTTCCGAACTCAAACGCCCCAGATTGTGCACAAGCAGATAGGACCCCTGTCAAGCTCACCTCATTTGGGCTCATCTTCACCCTCTTCAACTCCCTGAAAAACCCAAATGCATCATCAAAACAACCATTATGAGCCAACCCAACAATCATTGTACTCCAAGAAACACCATCTTTCGTCGGCATCTCCAAAAACGATTTCTTTGCAAGTTCAAGCTCTCCAGCTCTAGTATACCCGGCAAGCATAAGGTTCCACGAGGTCACATTCTTAAATGGCATTTCATTAAACATTCTCTCCGCACCGACTACATCATCACACCTAAAACAAGTATTAATCATCGCATTCCACGCCACTACATTTGGTTCAAACATTTCATCGAAAATCTTCTTCGCAAAACCAATACACCCACATTCCGCATACATACTCGTCATCGTCGTCCCAACAAAAAGATGGGTATCGAGGCCAAAAGTGAGTGCTTGACAATGGAGTTGAAACCCAGTTTTCAAATCCCTCAAATTGCCCGCTGCTTTGAAAATAAAAGCAAAAGAAAAGCTATCAGGAGTGGTGGGTGATTTTCGGCGCATATCAATGAATGTGGTCAGAGAATTTTGAGGAAAATAGGACTCGGCGAATCCTCGAATGAGGGTATTGTACATGAATACATCTGGGTTCGGAATGTGGAGGAAGAGACGGTGGGCATAGTCGAGTGCGTCGGAGATTAAAACTGCGCAGCGTAGGAGGAGTTTTCCGGTGATAAAGAGGTCGTTGTCGAGGCCTGTTTTACAGACGTGAGCTTGAACTTGTTTGACGCTTTTCAGGGTCTTGCAACCATTCAACAACGAAAGGCAGAATTGTTCGCTGTTGTTCATTTTCTATACTCGATCCATCCTTTCAAAGCTTTGCTCCTGCATTTGAATTTTGGAGCGAAAGTGTAAATAGCCGTTTTGAGTTTTCAAAATTACCCTTAACCTAATCTATATAACTCTTATAAAAGAGCTGGTTCACGTTCATGAATCATGACGTGCTTGACGTCCTTACACTACCTTCTGCTCCAACGTGCTTCACCAACAGCCACCTCCTGTCTCCATGTATACGTGTTGACATATACCCAACATAACCGACTCTCTCTCTCTTTTCCCCATCTCTCTCTCGTTACTTACCCATCACCTCACCGCTTCAACTCTCTCTCTCTCTCTCTCACTGTGCATCAAGAATTGCTTGAATCAGTTAATTACTTCTCTTTCTCTGTCATGTAATTTACAGATTTGGTGGCTGAATTTGTGTGTGACAAAACCAATGTTCAATTTCTAACCTACAATAGAAATAGGGATCATTCACCGAAACCCACAAGGCTACAACCACCGAAATCCACAACCACCACCGAATCACTGAAACCCAGAATCACCACCAAACCCACAACCACCACCCGAAACCCACAACCACCACCGAAGACAACACCACAACTGCTGAGTGACATCTACAACAAATAGAGAGAGAGGAAGCGACCAAGAGAGAGACAGTGAGAATGGTAGAGAGAAATACCTAAGTGACAGAAGTATTCCAAGTCTTCAATTGGAGGCTCGACTTAGGCTCTGAGAGAGAGAGAGAGAGAGAGAGAGAGGGAGCGGGGCTGGGAGTGGCGGAGGAGGATGAGAGGGAGGGTTGATCATGTTTGGGTGTGGAGTAGGAGAAAATATTCGTTACAACGGGTAATAATTCACGAGCAGTGATATTGGGACAAAATTTACTCATTTATTTTATTGACTTAATTTATTTTTTGAATTAATTATAAAATTTATTAAACATTAAAATTTAGTATTGATCTAATAGTTCTAGTAAAGCCACATCATTATGTCAAAAAATTAAATCAATTTTTAAAGTCCAAATAATATTACTCATACTACATATCAATGTGATGCGCTGATCAATAATATTAAAATAAATAAATAAATATGTTTCACAAAAATTAATAATAAATCTATTATATAAGAGTAATTTTAATCATAACTCAAATTTAAATTAATATTTGTGTAAAAAATTTGATTTGATATAAATGATTTCAATAGATAAACTCAAATTTAAATTGAGTAAAGATAGTGAAATCTCATTATTAAAGATTTGAGTAACGATTTGAACCTCTCTTAATTTGAGTAAAAAATCGAGTCTCCCTTAATGTGGTATAAGTTTGAGTCAAGGTTGAAACAAATTTTTTGAACTTTTTTACTTAAATTTAAATTTGAATCTAGATTTGAGTAAGGGTTGGTGATGCCCTAAATAAATAACTCCTAATTTTTTCTCCATATAAGCTTAAGTGAGATTCATTTTACCCGTTTACAGTTTTATCATCAATAGTGACATACTATTACTATTAGATTGAATATTTACTCGCAATGGCGGAGCCATATGGGCATTTGCCCTTGCCTCACTTTGGGATCACTTTAGATGAGGACCCATAAAATATTTATATAATAAAGTAATTAAATTTCTTTATCTTTAATTTTTTGCAACTCAAATTCCTTTAAAAAATATTGATTTGACTGACCTAAAACGAAATGTCCTCTTCCCCCAATTTTTTGAGGAAGACTTTCATTCATTCCACAATTCTAAAACTTTTATCTCTCTTATAACTTTTTATCTCATATTACACATTAATTAGGTCGTTAATTATGATTTTAATTAAAAATTATTTTTAAAAATTTCAAATAAACAAATGGACCTTAAATAAATATTCTTTACGTCAAAATGAGTCGAATAATTATAATATGTCATATTTTGTATTGAAATAAAAATACTATAATATTCGAATGGTATAATAGATGAATAATATATATGTAATGTTATACATCTATATACTAGGGAGCTATCATTATTTGTCTTGAGTTTTTCGTGGATCATATTGTTTAAGATTATTGATCAAACTATCAAAACTCCTCCTTCAAATTTTATTTTACTCAATTATCGGTTTGAAGTGTTTATGATTAGTATTCGAATTGATCTGAATTTAATTGTCGAATATAAAGTATATTTTCTTACTTAAACTTAACTTTGCTTGGATTTTACGAGTATTCAAGTTGAAGTAAAAGTGAAATTGATTATAAAAATAATAAAGAATAACTACATTAATAAAAAAAAGAAATTATGACATCACAGTGAATGAGAATAGATAAGAATTAGTTTGTAAATTTAAGATAGAAGTGTTAATTGAATCGAATTTAAATTCAATTCTCGATTTGGTGTTATTAAGATTAATACTCAAATTGAGCTGAATTTGACTGTAGTGTATAAAGTATAAAATTCTTGTTTAAACTTAAAGGGTGGGATTATACCCATCCCATTTAATTTCTCATTATTAAACTACTAAGTCTACCCTTTCTATACTCACCTCATGCTACATACACCCTTTTTAAAAAGAAAAGAATGAAACAAGGAAAAAAAAAGAAAGAAGCAAATCGAAACAAAAAGGGAAAAAAAAAATCAAGCAAAAATTAAAAGAACAAGTAAAACTACAATACGCAAAACCACAAGACGTAAAATCGAACATGAAAAAAAAAATTATCAAGCACAAATACAAAATCGAATAAGGAAAAAAAAAAAGAAGTATACATACAAAACCTAAACAAGATAAAAAAAAAGCAACAAATAATCTGAAAAGCATACATATATATACACACATATAAATTCTAAATATGAAAAATTGTTAAACTTGACAAAGATATCAAAATATACCAAAAATAATAAAATCCATACAACAAAGAGAAAATCAAATATAGAATTAAATCAAAAAATAATACTAACATATATCTTACTAGAAAAATTCATATTAAAAAAGTATTTTTGTGAGTGCATGAGATGAAATAGATAATGAAACCCTAATTATGACAAAATATAATGTGAGTTTATTTATTAAACGAGGTGTATGTAGCATGAGGTGAACTTAGTTACTAATGGGGTGGATATAGAAGAGGTGGACTTAGTAATTTGATAATGAGAAATTAAATAAGGTGAGAATGGAGATTTGTGGGGTGGGAATAGTCCCACCCAAACTTAAATTCGATTGAATTTTATGAATTTTAAGTTGAACTCAAATGGAAACTAATTTTAATTACTCAACAAAATTTTTTACATCTATGAGAATTCATGTGAAACTTTTGAATGTTTTCCTCACAAAAGTTACACGAACTGACATTACAAAAATGGTGGAGATATAATATTATGAACTTTAGGTAGAACAGATAAATAAATAGTTATATTTTTTTTTTGAAATTTAAGATAAAGTTTATTAAAAATGTTAAAATTGTGGATGTTTAACCAATAATAAATATATTTTCTCAAATTTTGGAATTAATATGTTGCAATAGTTGTAGTGTGACTTTCGTTATATAAAGGTTTGATTATGTATGTTCTGCATACAGGTTGAACAATATCAATTTGATCGTTATATTATTAAAATCGTATTATATATTGTCATTATTTATGAAATTTTTTTTATAATTTTTTACGAGTAACGTAGTGCCTTCAGGCACGAATAATTATTAGTATATAATAAAGTAGCTAGATAGTTTGTATTTAACTTTTTGCGGCTCAGATCATTTGAGAATTATTGATCCGACGGTCCTAACTGTACTTTCATTCATTTTACAACTCTAAAACTCTTCTCTCTCGTATAACTCTCTTGCCCTTACTATCTCATACACCCAACTCTTATACGTATATAACTCTCTCATACATTTTAAATGCACATCTTCACATCTCTTATTTACCATCTAACTACTTTATTTTAAAGATATCTTATACTCTCTCTCTCTCTCTCTCTTTAATATTGTTTGTCTTGACGATCATAATTGGACTTTTTTACTCAANTGAAAAAAAAAATTATCAAGCACAAATACAAAATCGAATAAGGAAAAAAAAAAAGAAGTATACATACAAAACCTAAACAAGATAAAAAAAAAGCAACAAATAATCTGAAAAGCATACATATATATACACACATATAAATTCTAAATATGAAAAATTGTTAAACTTGACAAAGATATCAAAATATACCAAAAATAATAAAATCCATACAACAAAGAGAAAATCAAATATAGAATTAAATCAAAAAATAATACTAACATATATCTTACTAGAAAAATTCATATTAAAAAAGTATTTTTGTGAGTGCATGAGATGAAATAGATAATGAAACCCTAATTATGACAAAATATAATGTGAGTTTATTTATTAAACGAGGTGTATGTAGCATGAGGTGAACTTAGTTACTAATGGGGTGGATATAGAAGAGGTGGACTTAGTAATTTGATAATGAGAAATTAAATAAGGTGAGAATGGAGATTTGTGGGGTGGGAATAGTCCCACCCAAACTTAAATTCGATTGAATTTTATGAATTTTAAGTTGAACTCAAATGGAAACTAATTTTAATTACTCAACAAAATTTTTTACATCTATGAGAATTCATGTGAAACTTTTGAATGTTTTCCTCACAAAAGTTACACGAACTGACATTACAAAAATGGTGGAGATATAATATTATGAACTTTAGGTAGAACAGATAAATAAATAGTTATATTTTTTTTTTGAAATTTAAGATAAAGTTTATTAAAAATGTTAAAATTGTGGATGTTTAACCAATAATAAATATATTTTCTCAAATTTTGGAATTAATATGTTGCAATAGTTGTAGTGTGACTTTCGTTATATAAAGGTTTGATTATGTATGTTCTGCATACAGGTTGAACAATATCAATTTGATCGTTATATTATTAAAATCGTATTATATATTGTCATTATTTATGAAATTTTTTTTATAATTTTTTACGAGTAACGTAGTGCCTTCAGGCACGAATAATTATTAGTATATAATAAAGT